AGCCGTGTGCGGCCTAGCGTTATCACTGACCGCACTTCACAGTCGGCGGGAGCTGGAATAAGAACCTCCATCTTCAACAGCTGTAACGATGCTACTGTGAGAACGCGGGAAGTGCCGTTAGTGCATGCGCCATGCTACGTCATTGCTCTATCACATACGCACAGTCGCTTCGCGCAATATAAGGTTTGCTAGCTGTGGGACGAGTGGGAAACTTACTTTTGGGACGCGCCTCGTATTAATTTTGAACCGTTTCTGTTCTATCTTATAGTAATCATGTGGATATTTATTATTGTTTAAAATGTTTTACTATGTTCAATTTTCTTAAATCACGTGAAATAACACAACTTAAGACTTCGCGAACTCAGATACTCTCATCAACATTTTGTTTTCCAATATCCTCAACGTCTGCTCTGTCCTCAACTCTTGCGTCCTTATGGCATATAGGTAATGTAGGCGTCATAATTACACAATTGGTCTTGTCCCTTCGCTTCGGAAAGGAAACAGAATAATAAGGAATTGTGAATGAATGATGAAAAGGATTCCATGTTCTGTCTGTTAGTTCATTCTCATGTTTTAACTTTAAGATTTGATGTCGAAATGTTATATTGCAAGAGTTCTTAGGTAGACACTTTTATTCACGTTGGTCCATGAAACTTATATCCAACTTAGCGGTTTTTAAAAAAATAACCGGCTCATGATCAAATAAACTGGTATTTGACAAAATTTTGCTGCTTGAGACTATAATACTTGTATCTGAAACATTCATTGATGTGGTATCTAATAAAATAAAATATGAAATGAAATTTTGACTTTATGCAGCGGTATGTGCTGCCAATATAGACACGGTATGCTACAATTAATATCCGGCCTGTGGATCTGAATTTGAAATAACACATTTACAGTACCTGCAGTAAATTAACAACAAAGTGAACTGCAAAGAAGCACTGTGCAATGTACTATATTTCAGAACAATTTTACTGCTTCTTAAATGCGTGATGTAAGAAACTCCTTACACAAATTGTACTGTTGTATTGCAGGGAGATCAGTCCTACAGAGAACGTCCTTGTAACTTGGCTGACAGCTGGAGAAGGCTGGCACAATTACCATCACGCCATTCCTTGGGACTACAAAGCTGCAGAACTCGGTCCCTCAACTGTAAATTGGACAACTTATCTCATTGAAATGTTCTCCAGAATTGGGTGGGCGTATGACCTGAAAACTCCTTCGCCAGATCTTATCCGCAGACTTGTAGAACGCAGAGGAGATGGTACTCATTATAAATGGGGTGCCGGGATAATGGGAACCGCGGGCATCACTAAGCAAATAGATGACGAGTTCCAAAAATGGGGGGCAGCCAGAGAACTGGCAGAAGAAAGCCAATAAAACCAAATGGAATAATTGAACAGTTTCTCGTACTTCTAACACAAAGTATTAAGCTTTCTTGTTAACATTTATCAGTTTACTGGTATTCTGGTTATGGATTGAATCACAAATGTGTTACTGTATATATAACGTATCTTAATTTTGTGTATCTCTGCATAATCTGTAAATACATCTGACGTGTCAACATCTCTGTAGGATTCATAGCTAAACTGCAGAATCATTATAACTTGGAGATCCGATTTTCATTTAACATATTCTTTGATCGCATTTGAATACTATCTATTTTCACAAGGAACTTTTGGAATTACTGTAATTTCCTACACACCCTTCACTGGTTAAAAACAATAATTTCAGTGTCCTTTATGCCCCTGTAAGCCCTGCAGCAAAGTTAATCATTAAAATATGAAACTAAAGTGATTAGCACTCCTGCTTTATATTCGGGAGGTTTCTAGTTCAAATCTTGGTCCGGAGTCCAACTATCATAACTGATGATTGTTCTCTTTGCCCTATGTAATTCGACGTCCTCCCATGTAAACGGAGCAGAACTAGACACGCCCTTAAAACATTTGAATCTTGATATTTTTTGCACACCTATAGCCTCACAAACTGGTAGGTAATTTATCCCACTAGAATTATTACTTAATGTTTAATCTAGAATATTACCGCCTTCTTCACTTGACAAAAACGTTTGCTACTTGACGCCATGATTGCAGCATACTGATGTATAAAAGATCGATCCACGTAATACTATAGGGGAAGAACAGGAAAAGAACTGTGCCATCATGGTCGCGTCATATCCCATTTAAATGCTCGTAACATGATCTACAGGGCCAATGAAGCCGAGTTAATTTTGATTCAATTTTTTTTTACAGAAAGGCACAAATCAAAGCCTACATTCAGATGACCAAAATAAATATGTTTACATTTCAAGGCGAGAAACAACAGAATGAAATCTAATTTTCAGGAACATGTTGTATGTTACATGAAAGCCAAATTCTCTTCCAATAAGACTAAAGAATTGAATTTTCTTCATAAATGTGCGATAGAGACAAATGGTAGTATGGACAAGCAATATGCAATCAGTCCTCACCACTCCGCGACGCGTGATGTTCGCGTTATGAATACGTTCATGAATTTAAAAACGCAACAGTGAAGCACAAAATAACTCAATCTTAGTATACAGTGACGTGCGAAATGCCTCTGTTCTAGTTCTGTTTAATAGGGAATATGCACTGTGTAGCTACTTCATTATCCATTCACACATTCACTTCTCAGTATTCTGATGGTATCATACATGGTGTCTAATCATAGCACCATAATTAATAAATAACTTTCTGCTGCTTATGATGTCATTGTCCTCTCTCGTCTCGTCTTACACTGGAGAGTAATATATGTTTGGTGCTTGGTGAGAAGGGCTTGAATCAGTTCTAGCTACATTTGATATAAGGTATTTTAATTATTTATGGTTGATTTAAGAACGCCGTCAGTCAGTCGCTCAGACAAGCGTTGAACGCTAGAATGACTAACAGTAATAATTTAAGCGAGGCCTACAATCCTGAAAATTTTCTGAAGAACCCAAAGAGAACCACAACAATCCTTGGTCACATTAAGCTGTTCCCGGGTTGAAATTTGAATCCTGGACATCCGAATACAAAGCAGGAATAATAACGGCACGGCCACGGTCATCGATTTAAGCTCTCTTACCGAGTACCATGTATGCAGGCCTACAGAGTAAATACCTGATCTTAGTAGCAGTAATTGCAATTAGAGCCGGAAAATGTGACCACGCCATAAAGCAAGAATAGCGAGCCATTGGCAGTGTCAATGCTCCTGCAGACTGCATTGGCACCAGAAACACATCTGGCAGAGGGACTGGCCTTGAAATTACGTTGTACAGTAAAGGTAGAATAGTCTCTGATAGACCTAGTGGGTACGCAGAGACTAACTGTATCAACAACAGATGAGCAACTAATTTTGCCTTTAAAAACATTCACGAGGATTCTCCGGCCTCGTAAAAGCCTCCTCCTTAAATGTAACGATAAGAAATTTAACCTGACTAATATATCATCATAATTATAGGCACAAACGCCATTAAAGAATCTAGTGTAACAAATAGCTACAAATTTCCTTTGAATCCTTTCCAGTTTAAAGGAGTCAGTATTAGTAATAGAGTTCCAAACAACGGATGCATACTCAATTTTGGAACGGACTAAAGTACTGTACAAGACCAAAAGGCTATCAACAGTGGAGAAGGAAGAAGTAATGTACCGAATCAAACCTAGCATTTTCAAGCTCTGTGATAATATATAGTTGATATGCTGGTGAAAATAGAGCTTACAGTCCAGTAGAACACCGAGATCTTTAACACAATGGGAGCGTGCCACCAGGTTGTTACACAATTTGTAATTAAAATAAATACTGTTTGTCTTCCGGGTGAATGATATAACAGTCGTTTTACTTAAATTAAGTTGCATCCCATTCACAAGACACCAATTTTGCACTCAATGGATGTCGTCCTGCAACAGTTTGCAGTCATCAACATCGCTAATACTCCGATA